CTATTATACTCACCGTAAGGCACACATTCATTGTAGGCATCTCCTATGTAACCAACTTTACATGAACACACAGGATAGTGGTTCTTGACGTGACATTCTGTGTTATTGCCACACACGCCGTCTTCACAAGGATCTACACACTTCTGCAGACGACATGAGCGGTCCTCCGGACAATGAGAGTGAGTCTGGCATTCCGGAATCCCTGTGACACAAGAACATTACAAGCATATAACTATTGAAACCATCCAGCATGCAGTAGGTCGCCTTTAGATCCCAGTGACGACATAAGAAAAATACGCTACTAGAACTGTTGGGGGGTGTAAGCCTTCCAACACTTGCTGCTCTGACACGCTACTATCAACGTGACAACATAAGCTCGATCCAATAATATATTGGAGCCACAAATATACCAGCATCCTGTGTATGACAGCAAAAAGAGATGCTCAACGTAGCTAAAGCTCACTATACTCAAGCCTATCTCATCACTACCGCTGATTATGTCTCTCATCTAACATAGGTCTACTCTACCTAAAGCAAATGCCTTGTGCAGTTTGCATATTAAGTTATTATTTAACACTCCTTAAGCTTACTCAATAAACATTCCTTAACACTTTCCCCTTAAAATCTAGTATATACATTATCCTACATCTTAAATCGAGCACAATTGTTAAAATTGTTCAATTTTAGCAGTTCAAATATTTTCTTACACTCAGGAAGGCAGCCTTTTTCTAGAGTGTAGAAGAATCCTTTGAGGCAGGCACACATTGGTTGATGGTTGACCACTCTACACACAGTATTGAGGCCACAATTATTGTCCAAACAAGGATCTACACACTTGTGACTAATACAGGCCTTGTTTGTTGTACACATGGAGTCATCTGTGCATTCTGCATTTTCTATAAACATAAACAATATCTTATACAGGAATTGTTGTATGTAGCAAAAGATTCTGCCAAATACATTAAAAGACAACAGCTACGACAGAACAAAAAGTTTTGGCTATCTATATAATAATTTGAAACTGCTTCCCTTGTCACAGCTAATTTGGGAGAACAGCTGGGCGTAGAAATTTGGTAGAGGTGTCTTAAGAAAGGTCTTGGTCTGTAGATGAGCCATCAATAGAGAAACGAGGTAAAATTCACTTGGGGCTCTGTCTCAGTGGCCTTTAAATTCCCATCCCATGTTATTCTTATGGAGGAAAAAAGGGTTTTTGTCACAGCTAATTTGAGGGAACGGCTGGGCGTAGAAACTTGGTAGGGGTGTATAAAGAAAGGTCTTGGTCTGTAGATGAGCCATCAAAAGAGAAATGAGGGAAATTTCCTTAAGGCTCTGCCCCAGAGGCGTTTAAAGTTCCTCCCCTAGGTTTGTTTACATTATGACCTTATGGATAATTTTACACTACTTTTTAATGACACAGATGTTAATATTTGAATTGTATTTCTAGCATTTACTGAAACTGTCAAAATTGTTTACATTATTATTTATGATTTTAAAATTGATTCTCCACTGCATGGCAAACTTTTATAGTTTGAACAAAATTATGAATTTATGATACATGTTTTAAATTTTTTGTTCAAATATGTATGCTTTAATACACTGAGAAAACTTTATGTTATGAAATCAGTGGTACGTATCAATTTCAAAGGAACAGATAACTATTCCTTATCGGGTTAGCTTATATTTATTGTAGGGCTTGGCACTTGCCTTTTTTGGCCCACTTTTAATAATAATTTATTATTACATTTAAGAAAGAACGTCAGAAGTTGGTTAGATTATTATCATAATATTTTTCGATAATTGGGTAGAAAATTATGTCATACAATAAAAACCATGCAAGTGTAGAGGAGGAAGTACGTTGAGGTTGTGAGCTATGTTCAAGTTTAGGAATAGACTAACCATTAAGTATGTTTAATCTATGGTTTTGGTGAAGTAGGAGGTGAATTAATGGCAATTCAGGTATTAAAAAACAATGTGTACAGTGTTTTTTACTTTGACGTACACATCTAGCTAGGTTGAACGACGAATCTAAATCTCACTACATACAAAGCATTCGGAAATACAACAGTGCCATCACAACTCATCTCATTTGAATAATTTATTGCCAACAAAGCCGGACTAGGTTATGGATGTGGTTCCGCAAATGTTCAAGATTTGTGGACAAATTCACTACAAATATGGTCCATCCCATCCACAAAATACATGCACAACTTTATGTGACCAATATGGCGAAGCAAAACTAAACCAGAAGGTTATCAATTAGCAAATAAGTACAGGATGATTAAATACATCCGTCGATGTGTTAAGAAAAGGTATCAAAATTGCGGCTGCACTTTAGTTTACGCCCTAAAACTCATTCGAATGAATATATCGATCGATATATCGATTATTCCATTCGATATATCAAGTTTGGTTAGTTAAAATGGAACCTAACCTAACTACCCGAATGTAACAATAGATATATCGAAAAACCAAAATATCGATATTTTTCATTCGAATGAGCGTATACATCAAAAATATGATTTTCACAAAAACAACCCAAACTATTGAAATTTAATATGTCACGAGCTGCAATTACCTTGGCTCACAACAGGAAGAGAACGCAGTAGATAACAATGATGTTAGCTAATTTTATATTAGACCTTCTCATTGTAAGAGCTAGTCCGGGACCGATTTACCTTTTCATTTTGAAGTCCCTAATGGCCAAAAACACCATCCGTTCTAAATGTTATATATGTATATATATATATGTATGTGTCCGAGAACGCGATAACTTAAGTAATCTGAGTCCGATATCGATAAAATTTGGTTTGAATGTGATAGGCGCGATAAACTTGGTTGGGTTCGCGATCCAGCATGATCGGACCATGGGAACGGGGTTAAACGGGAAGGTTTATGGGGAAAAATTGGGTTTTCTCATTTTTGACCCTCAAAAGTACAAAAAACCTCTAGGCAATTTTATAAAAAAATACAAAACAAATTTATTATATCTAAGTGTTTCTGTATGATTATTCGTTACGGAGGAAGTTAAAAAATTGTAAATTTTTAATCCTTATGTTATTGTTATAGAGAAGAAAGTAAAACGTTCTAGTTTGCTTGTTTATAGATATACTTTGATCAAACTTGGACAATTTATTTGTTTTATACTAAGATTACTAATATTTTACTAAAAACACTTTAGTACCCTCCCTATAGCAGCAAACCTAGGTACTTGTTAAACCTAATGTTATTTGCATATAACTTTTAATTTGAAAATCTAATCAGGCAAATGGAAATTCGCATGATCAGCAGATTTGCTGTGGCAGGCGTATCTTTTTAGATCTGCTGAATAAGATATTTATACGTCTGTTTTCATTTTAGAATAAAAAACTCAAGTTTCCCACCTAGTGATGTTAAATTATATTCTTTATATTTTTTAATAAGGGCTATAAATTTCCTAGGCAGCCGTTATAGTGTATAAGTGGTGCTGAAGTGTGTCTGAAAAACTGTAACTTTATGATTTAATTTTATAACATGAACTTATTTAAAAAAGGTAGGCCTAGTTATTTTCAAGCCCCTACTAATATTATTTATGGCAATAGATCCAAACGAAACTAACAACATACCTACCTAAGTGTAGCAATAAGATAAATCACTTGATATTGATCCCCAAATAGAATAGCCTTGTAAATCTAACCCTACATACGTGGTTTGCATTCCGTAAACGGGTCTCCTTTGTAGCCAGTTTTACAGGAACACAACGGAAGTCCATCTTTCACCACACAAATTGTGTTAAGCCCACACACGCTGTCACAAGGATCTGTGCATTTCTTAGCTCTGCATATCTTCCCTGAAATACACTCATCGTTCGTGAGACACTCTTCCCCTGAAACATAGATATAGAAGATGATTTATTGCATAAAACATTTAATACATATAATAAATAATATGTGCATTATTAAACTCATATTGGACTGTGAAAAATTCACATAAATGCCTTTTCACACCGGCGAACTGGACGTACTGTACGTTTTGTAGGTTTTTTTTTCAACAAATCGCTGCCCATGTTATCATATGAGCTCGTTCACACCGCGCGTACAGAACGTACTGTACGTACAGTACGTACGCGATGGTTTTGTGTAAATCGCTCGGAGAGCGATTTTTGTAAAAACGTACTGGGCGTACATGGGCTCGCGCATGCGCAGTGAACACTTCAGAACCACGTGCTCAGCCAGTGTTACTTGTCTGACTGCAAACGAACAAGTGTACGTTTTGGAAGTTTCTGTGCGGTGTGAAAGGACCGCGTACTTGACGAACTGGCCGTACCAAACGTACAGTACGTCCAGTACGCCGGTGTGAAAAGGCCTTAAAACTATGAAACTAAACAGAAAAATAAACAATTGTAAATCAATAAGAGGAATTAAATTCTAAATTCAAGTTTTGGCAAATATTTAACTAAATAAAATGCTTTGTTTTTTTCGCTATTTCACTCAATAACTTTCAGCATGAGGGAATCAACAATGTACAATCTCGGCCAACATACAATGGCGTACGGTACCTGTTGTTAAAATGTATTTTTCTGGTAGTTTCTACCCAACTAAATTATTGCAAATGATATATTCTATAATATATAGTACTTGAAATGTCCAACATTTTTTATTTATTTTTCTTACAAGAACTGTGCGGATAAGATAAATTAATTTCTTTAATAATATTCAAGTACGAGTATTCATACTGTATGTAACCAGATAGAGATTTTATACAGGTATGTTGACCCCCATAAAACTATGTATTATCTTAATACTAACTTAAGCTTAGCAAGATGATAAAAATGTCACAATTGCAACACAGTCTCTTAAGTTGAATGTGATACGGACATAATTTTGGTATGAATATTATAATTCAAATAGGTAGCTTATTTAACTGTTTAACATTAACTCTTAACTATTTTAACATTTTATGTGCTTTAGCTAAATTAGAAAACAACTTTCAGATTTTGGGTCCAGCAGAAAACTCAAAAACATGTGTTTTTAAAATAAAGCTCTATACGTTTCTCGAACCTCTGAGAAAAGAAAACATCTCTGTTGTTATATTATTTTTTGTCAAAGCATTAGTGTCATTGACAAAAACAATAAGTACTTTATTATAAGCTAGAAGATTTTAGTAAAAATAAGGGAGAAAAAGGGGCCCTAGATTGAGCCTTTAGGCTCACCTTTGGATGTTTTCCCATTGTGACTTCGCTTATTGTATTTTAAAATTTAAAATAATTTATTTACTAAGTACAATCAATACACATCAATACGTCGTTAAATATCAGGTTGTTGTTTTAAGTTTGACTCCTTGTAGTGTACTGAATTCAAAAACACCTGTCTCGCTAATTTATTTGTGTAATACGACGTGAATACTCCTTAGTTATATAGATGTGGCACAAGTTCAACATTTAGAAAAACGTGACATGTGAAGTGGTGGTCATTTATTTATAACATGTATATTACCCTAACTAATGGTATGTCGATGCATCCGCTAAGAGAATAGCTTTACATACGTTTTAGAATGAGGGTTTTCTCTGTTATATCCCTTTTCACCGTTCTACATAACCGATTTAGACTACTGAGGTGCCATTAGCTTATAGCGGAATAACGAATGGTTATCAAAAAGGCATTGACCTTTAGGCCTTGCCTTGCACCCCCCCCCCCTCTACATCTTGTTTTGTTCTTGTTTTGTTTTGTTGATTATCTTTGTTTACAACCGTTCAAAACGTGAATGTAGAACAGTCAGATGGTAAATAAGAGGACTAAACATATTATGCAAATGAATGTTAAATAGGCTACTTTTTATGGATAGTAGAAACATAATTCAGGTAACAATAGTTATTTGTGCAACTAGTGAGAAAAGTGAGCAATTGACTCACTCGAGAGAAATCCTTACTCACGAGCCGTAGGCGAGTGAGGAATGGTTTCTCGAGTGAGGCAATTGTACTTTTAACTCGAGTTGCACATTATACTTTTCCTACAGTTACCATAAACAAATACATTTGTGAAGAAACATAACCTATTTTTACACAAAAGTGAACTTTTAATATAGCATTTAATGTGAAGTGACAAAATACAACAGTACAACAGCTGACCAGCTGATTTACAGCCAGTGCTGCCAACGTATTTCGCGCGCATACGACGTTGCCTGCATGTTACGCGCTCACTATTTCGTGCCTTCACGTTGCAAATCTGGAGTGAGACAAAGTAATTAGAGTGAGACAATGTTAACATTGTTTCACTGATGAGCGAATTGGCCACTTTGCTTTCTCAAATCAGTGAGAGAACATGTACATTTTAAGGGGGGGGGGGGGGGGGGGGGGGGGTAACGGTAGGACAAAACTATATTTCCTCCCTTAGTTGCAGTTACTGAGATAACTGATGTGACACAAAATATACGTTGGTGTATTCAACAGAGATAACTAGCTTAAATCAGCATCTTCTGTTGGAGGCTCATATTTGACTAAGTAGCACTTATATATAATACGTTGACTTTAATTAAATAACTTAAAAACTTACCTGTAGTGGTGTTGTTTATAGGAGCAGGCTGAGTCCTTGACTTATCTACAAATGAGATCAAGAGACACAACCACACAATTCTCAAATCCATCGTGTTCCCCTATAGCTCATCAACTGAAAAGTGTTTGTTTTTAATTTGATAGTACTTTGTTCCACAGATAGCTTTGTATAACAATTGACCTTTTGATAAAGACTTTGCAGGGCTGCATCTTATTTACGAGTAAGACTAATCTAAAGAGACTTTGTATTGCTTATTTTAAACTAATACCAAACATCATAGTGAGTTTGTAGAAATGAGAAGCATTCGCCTTAACTGTAAATTGTCATTGTAGTTTAAATTGTTTTCAAAATAAAAAATAAGAAAATTCTAGTTTAAGTTTTATTTTTTAGTTAAAATTTAAGTTGAATATTTAACTTGGACACATTTTAGTTTGCTATCAGTAGGCCTAGTGGTGTCCACAGGAGGAAGGGGGGCAGTGGCAAACTTGCGTCACTGAGATTTTTCTAGGGAGGGGTTATTTAGCCACAAAGTGAGGGTAAGGCCTTGATAAAATATTCGTTGTACTTTTTTACAGTTAATAATAGGCTATGCTGAAGTGTTTTAAATGTTAAATACGAGATTTTACAGTATATTTTAGCTTTTTAGACTAACTATCTTTTGGACCAACCAGCTTTTTTGACCGACAGCGGTATAATTTAATTTCTGGTAACTACTGATCGCTTCAATAATTACCATGTATTTTATCACAAAAACAGTCACTGCTCTGTTAATGATAATCCAATCTAAATAATTATTGCACCATATTTTAGTAAATACAATTCAGTAGCTTTTTGTAGGCCTACTGAGTAAAAGATTTACAATATGTATAGTTTTAAAGATATTCAGCTATGAAAACAATAATAATCGCCATTTTAAAACAACAGTTTTTATTCACATTTTGTACAAAGGTAGGAATCAAAAATATAAAACATATTAGATGAATTTCAATGCTGTAGCTCAAACCGTTAAGGAGTTATGTTTTTATAAAAAGCACATACAGACAGACATACGCTATACGGTTTGAGATAGGACAATAATATGTTGTATTGCATTTTTTGCTTGTTTTTGACCTAGTCGACGCTGGACATTCTGTATAAAACTAACTGAATGTAAGAAGAAACCTGAAGCGTCTTACACTCAGCGGCATACGTTACTCATCCAAATGTTTACGACGCACCTACAAATTCTTGTTTGTATGAACAGAAATGTCAAAATTAATCCTCGAATATATTGATAAATTTCATTTTTCCCAATACGTCCAACGTTTAAAAAAATTTACATCTTTTAATTTTTCCATTTTTATCCCTCATCAATATACTGTGTAGGCTTACTTTTTTAAACCAACACAAAATTAGTATTTTATATCAAATTGCTATCATTTGTTGACGTAATTGAAATGTATAGTCCAAATAAATACAATTAATTATTCCTTGTTATTCTCATATTAAGATTTACATTAATAACAAAACAAATTTTAAAATCTACATAGTATTAGTTTATTTATGTTCCTCCCACTGAATATGTATGTAAATCATACTGGATAGGGGGTGTGGAATCTCTGCTACGGGTAAAAGTCAGTCCCTTATCACACTACCATCAGTGGCACTTGGCAGCGCAGATGGCACTACTGCCTCATGTAATCTGATAGCTGCATTTTACAACATGAAACACAGTTCTAGTGTCAGTAAAGATGACAATTTAAAATTTGGATCTCTTACAGAAGACCTGGTTTATATTATTTGTAATGCTGCTCTTTCTATACCACTAGGTAGAGTTAATTAGAGGTGTAATACGTTTTTTATGTTTGCAAGACATTTGTATTTAATATGGTTTATAATAAGAAACATTTATTATAAAAATTATATAGAAATATTATAGCACGTTATGCACAACAAGTATCGTATTAACAAAGGATTCAAATCAAATCAGTTTTATTTCCACAATATATACAAAATAAAAAAAAAAAACTAATATATATAGTCTTAAAGCACTATACAGTACATTGTTTACGTAAAATAATACAAGTAAAGTTAAATTTATAAATTTATAATTGTATAAACTTAAATACTAGTTGAAATATGTTTGCTCCGGCTAGAATAATAACTAATGTTGGTAATGGAAATGAGTCTACATAGACCTCAGTGATCTGTGCGTACACTCTAATTGTTAAAAATTATTTTTTTTTTTTGCTAATTTGCAATTTAAGAAAAGATGTAAAATTAAATAAAGATTTATTTAAATTTTTACTATGTGCTATGGGAACGTATAAAGATAAAGATAAAGTTTAAAGTTTATATAAAAAATGGGAGTAAATATTAATTTACATTTTTATCAACAGAATTATTTAACGGGGAAGCCAATAAATAAAATGGAAAAGAGTTTTTTTTTTGTGTCAAGAGTTTGCAGAGGCCCTGTCCGTTCAGTGCTGTCAGACAGTAGCAGGTCTCCTGTTATCAGTAGTGATAAGAGCCTCGGCCTCTTCATCGCTAATATCTAATAACCCATCTATTAACTCGATTTTTTGAATACACCTAATGCAGGAGAATGAAATAACTGAGTTGCTTTATAAATAGCACCATGATTCATCCATACACAAAGAATAATTTTATATTTAGGTGAAAATACTTTGAAGAACATTTGTTTATTAACTTTTCCATAAAAAATAATTTAGTCTTAGGATATTTTATCTTGGCTGGCTTCACAGAGATTGCACTTAGTGTAACGGATTGGGGGGTTTGTATCAATCCAAATTGATTTTTACGGATCATTTGGTTGCAAATCTTATAATATTTGGTATTATAGTTGGTATATGTCACCACTCGGCGGTAACTTCTATGTTTTCATTCATTATTTTATCTTTGTTTTTAGACCGATTTAAAATTAAGTGACATAGCTTAGCTTGATTTTCTAAAATATTTCAAAGTATATTATTTTTGTACATTTTTAAATAGATTACTATAGTGCTACAAAAATATAAGACACGCTGATACAACATGAAAGTAAGTGAACATGGAAGTAAGCCTACCATTGACTTTAGATACTGCAAGTAGATATCTCATTTATGTGAAGCAGGTGTACCATTGATTTAGGATACTAAAATGAGGCAATTCCTTTACGTGAATCAAATGTTTCATTAAGTTTAGATACTGCAAGTAATAAATTCGTTTACGTTGAACCAGACGTACATCGACTTTAGAACCTGTAAATAGACATTTCTATTTAAGTGAACCAAATATATCAATGACATTGGATACTGCAAGTTGACATTTAATTTATGAAAATCAGATGAAACATAAACTTTGGTTCCTGCAAGTAGACATTTCATTTACGTGAACCAGACTTATAGTTGACTTTGGATACTGCAAGTATATATCTAATTTACGAGAAACAGATTAGTATTGACTTTAGTAAAGCATTGGATTAATTAATATGGTAGCTCCACTCAATATTTCATGCAGACAGCTGCATTGTACACTTAGTTTTAAGGCTAAAAACGATATTCATTATATGCTCAGTTCTATCTGTTCTAGGAAAATTATTATGTCATTTAAAATTTGCAATCTCAATATTCTTATCATTTTCCTCATTGGGTGTCCAAGTAGCGATGATGGTTTTACGAAAAGTTAACAAAAGAGTCAACATATGGTTACAACAAACCATGTATACAGTATACTAGCAAATTACAAAGACAGTACTAATAAGAGGACACTCGGTGAATATTATTGAGCGTATACATTGAATATATTAATGAGCATAGGGATGAATGCGACTGTTCAAGAAAGTTATTCTTTTCACCACAATACATTATTCACTCATAGTATATTAAAAGTCTTGAAGAAAATTCATAGACGTGTAATAGTTTCGGTGCTGCAGTGTGCGTTATTCCACGGTCCCAGTGCTACGTATAATCATAGATAAAACATACTCCCAGTAGATTTCTCATCCTTATGGAACAGCTGAAGACAATTTATTGTTAGTTCTGTACGGTTTATGTAGAGGTCGTGTTTTGTTTACAATTTGTTTCCCGTTATTACAGCCATTTTAAACCTCGTTTAACCAAATAATACGATCTAATCACAAACAATAATTTGCCCCCTAGTTATATACCAAACAGTAAAGCACAAATCAAGAAATTAACCCTAAAATAATAGAAACAAAATTTCGTCGACACTAGCGCCCAGTGTGGCGTACATGAACTAGACATGAAAAACGAGCTTCATAATTTACAATGGGATGAGAAGTCTACTTGTGTTGGTAAGTCTATGGTATAATCAATGCCGGTCAAGAGATGATATCATGAGTTTGTTGTTGAGGTTTATTGTTGAAATTCAATACAGATTGCTCGTTGTATGGAATTTTTTTCTAAATAAATTAAGAATGAAGAGGGGTCGTCCAAAAATCGAATTTGGCTTTACAACTTTAATAAACATATCAAATTTGGAAATTAAAGTGATTAACAGGTAAAGCTAATCACTGGCAATTATATTTTTGTTACTGGTTAACTAGGGGTTCCAAATTAGTTCATTTTTTGAACGTTTTTGTTTTTTTTAATAACTAGCTGGCCCGACAGACGTCGTCCTGTCCTAATGTGGTTTGATGTCAAATGTTGGTTCAGTTTCAAGATTAGCTCGTTCGCATGGCTCAATCACGTCCTGGTTGAAGTTCGTTCGCTACGCTCACTCACCTTTAGGTTGGAGCTCGTTCGCTGCGCTCACTTGCCTTTAGGTTAGCTCGTATGCTAACTCGCCTCCAGTTTGAAGTTCGTTTGAAACGCTCACTCACCTTTTGGTTACATATTAGCTGTTGTCATAAATAAAAAAAATAATAATAGTGCTGCACCCTGTTGGTAAACCTTTTTAAATTTTTAATGCTATTGAACATTACAGAATCAAATTGTTTAGTTCAACCAGCTGTTAAGATAATTTAATTCCATTTAAATATGAGTACTAATAAGGTTAACATGGGATCTCCGGAACCGGTGGGGCGGAGCCCTTTTGACAGATCTGCACCAAACTTCACACAAACCATAATGCTTAATAATGCCTGAAAGTTTCATTACAATCTGTCGAGCGGTTTCGGAGTCCATAAAGAACAAACATACATTAGATTATATGTATATTTTTATTTATTATAAACACAACTATAATTATATTTATATATATAGATTTAACAAGAAAAGGCGGTTATTAAATTAGGTACAATAATTGATACCACTGGGAATTTTGATTTTTTTTTTCTCCGTAACCGTTAGTACTATGCATTGAACAACGCTTCGATGCACTAAGGTTTAAATGCTTTAATTCTTTTTTCAAGACCAACATAATAACTATGAAAACATTACAAATCTTTATGTTTTGAGAGTCAAAAATGTGAAACCATAATTTTTTACCCCATAAAACCCCATTGAAGAACGCTCGTTTCCATAGTCCTATCATGCTGGTTTGCAAACTCGTTCGAATAAACGTAGGTTTACAAGTTTGTGCCAAACTTAATAAAAATTGGATAATTTTTGCTCGAGTTATTTTTTTTGGTCAGGAATAACATTTTCTACAAGACGCTGTTAAGAGTTTTTCGAAAATCACACCCCTTCACCCCTAAAAAACGCCCTACCTTCAAAAATAGGCAAATTTATTTAACATTTTTAATGGTTTAATCCATGTAAATCACGTTTACCCACTTCTAGATTAGCTAAGATCTGAAATTTGGCACGATTGTAGGTCTTGCGTCCTTTTTGAAAAGTCACATTTTACAATAATAACCCCTTCCCCCGTAGTATTTAATTCCCTAAACAGCTAGGGGACCTGTTTAGAGTTGTTACAACTTACCTCAGGATGTGAAATTTTCTAAAAAATCTTCAAGAGCGTTTCCAAAAAATTGCACCTCTTCCTGCATTGTAAAAACTAAACTATAATCTACTAATGACGACTAACGGCTAGGGTGCCTGGAGGCAGAGCCCCCAGCGAGCCAAAGGCGAGTATGTATTATACATTATACAGGGTGACAAAAAAGTCGGGAAACGGCTTAATATCTTTTTAACTAAATCCGTTAGAAAATTTCAGATATCAGAATTCCTTTCAGATCAACTTACATGTATGAAAAATACTTTTTGCAAGCATTACCAATTTTTGGCCTTCACCAGGGGACGACCCATAAGGAGTAGGTACATAATCTTTAATGTAAGCATAGGTTGATATTCACATCATTTTATAGGGTTGGTCAAGATGAGTTCATTGCCGGAAACTACAAACGGTAGGTATAAACGTGTAAATATAAGTCAATTCGAATGAGCTAGTGAACCATCGTAATCGAATCATTCTTCATATTTCCAAAACAAAATTTTACAGTTTCTTTCCAAATCATTTTGTAGAACCTAAACAAAACAAATAATTTAGTATATTAAGACGTTGTTGTATGCCTATTGGCTATGGAGAAAACTCCAAAAACACTCTCATTATTTTAAGAGAATAAATAACTCTTGTTGTAGTTTACATGTTTAGGGAAATATGTCTTATTATTTATCTATGACACATTGTATTACCTTCCCTGTAGCAGAAAGCCTAAGTAATCATTAATGGTAATGGAATTTAGATATAAAATAAATCTGACAATTTAAAGGGAATATTTTTGTGGTTAATCCAACCAGTTAAATGGAAATTCGCTTAGCCTGGAGGTTTGCTGTGGTGGGTTGTTTTTTGGATTCAGGTGGTCCTAAAACGGATTTATCCCAATACTCAATTTCAAAAGTGTTGATGAAAACAATACTTTATATACTCTGGATAGGGGTAGAAAGCAAAACGAAATATAACATTATTTATTTGACATTTATCTTTATTTGAAAGGGGAATTAAATACTAATAACAATGGCAGTATATGTAAGAAGGTGGAAGGAAACGGAGGGAGATACAAATGCAACTTAAATTAATAACTTTACATTTAATTATCGATCAAATTTTATGACTATGATCTAAATGTAGGAGTTAGCTTCTCAGCTGTAGTTTTTCCTTTGTTCACATACATATTTACGAATTTTGGCACAATCGCCATTTATAAAAACACGTTTGAAAGTAAACAAGCAGTGGCAATCACTGCTAGATGGCTCACCAGCTTTCCAGTGGGTATGTGAAAGTCGTTGTCCAGTGGATATCCATATGAAATTTGGATAGTTATCCAAGTCATGACCACCAATCCATATATCTTCGTTCCATATATCTGTCAACACAAACGGCATTCAGTTAGAGAATATATTTGGGCATCACTCACCTTGTTGAAATATGGAGAACTCAGTCCTTGTCCCCAAACATCCATTTCACCCACAAACACACATTAAAAATACAACATTAAATACAGAAATAAAATAACAGACTAAAGTTTTTCTGTTTCCGACGTTTCGCCACACCAATGCCAACGTGCGGAATTTTCAAGGTTACCTTACTATTACTATTTTACCTTCTATTACTATTCTGTTGTGAGAGCCTAACCATGACTGACGACCCCGGTGGTAGAGGAGGGGGAAGGAAGGCTTTGTTAGCCAGTTTAGCTGATAGCGCCATCTTCCTTTTTTGACTTCTGCATGTATCCCTTAATCTTTGTCTTCCAATATGCAAACTTTGTTCTAAATTTTTTTATCAGACTTATTTCCACCCATTTAACATTCCATTATACATTAAACATGTTGCTAGATATACAGATTATCGAGCTAGCTTTAGATTATCTCATCAAGTCATTAAACCCAAAAATACCTAACCATAATTATTGTACTAAATTATAACAAACTAGCTGTAAGCTCGTCCTACGCACGGGAATCAATTACTCGGTTGACTTTTTTTATTCAGAAAAGCAGTTTTTAGAATTTCCTTTATTTTTATACACTAGTAGCTGGCCCGTCAGACTTTTTCCTGTCCAAATGTGGTTTTATGTCAAATGCTCGTTTATTTTCAAGATGAGCTCGTTCGCATCGCTCAATCACGTCCTGGTTGAAGTTCGGTCCCTACGCGGTCTCGCATCAACTGAGCGAAGATTACCTTAACTGAGCGAAAGCCCTCGAAGGGTCCCCAAAAATGTTCCTTAACTGAGCGAAGCCCGGTCCAGGTATTTGCGAGTTGTCGGGACAAGGAATGTTCTTGTTTATGTAGAATCATATCCCACCTAACCTAACCTAACTAACCTAATCCAAAGGGGGCCACCGATTCACTCAGTTAAGGAACGTCTCTGGTGGTCCCCTGAAGTGCTTCGCTCAGTTCAGGACACCTGACTCCTGGTCATACCAGGAACTACCTGACTCAGGTCATTTCGCTCAGTTAAGGCCCGACCCCCTACGCTCACTCACCTTTTAGTTGGAGGTCGTTCACTGCGCTCACTCGCCTTGAGGTTTAGTTTGTTCGCTTTTTTAACACATGTTATTGTATCCCACAGTTTAATGAAAACATTTCCCTCCAATGCTAATGTAAAGGCAATTTTTTTTTTATTTTTAAAATCAAATTCTAAATAACGGTTGGATGGGTTATAAATTTCCAAACATAAAAACCTTGCCCTGGCACTAAGGAACACAACAAAAAAGAATCATCCAATTCGGTGCACTCGTTCTCGAGATATGGAACACTATAAAAAAAGGATTCATTTTAGCGAATTTCCCATATAGGGAATAAGATATTACCGTAGGTCTCAGGGGGTTTTATGAGGTAAAAATTGATTTGTCCCATTTTTACCCTAAAACACAATATTTCATAATTTCTCTCTAAACCATTTTGTAAAACTTAAAAAAAAATATTTTTGTATATTGAAGCAATGTTGTATGCCCAATGCTTACGGAGATAACTTAAAAAAATTTATATTTTAAATTTCCATGTTATTCTAATGGAGAATAAATAAACTGTTGTAGTTTTCTTGTTTATGGATGTATTTCAACTAAATTTGGAATTTTTGTTTATTTCATACTAAGCTATCAACATTGCAATAAAACCGCAACTCAATATCTTCCCTGTAGCAGCAAACCTAAGTACTCACTAAAATTAATGTTAATTAAAAATAAATAAATCTGACAATTTTTAGGGAATCTTTCTGGAATTTTAATATCCATCCAGGTAAATGGAAATTCGCTTAATCTGCAGGTTTCCCGTGGCGGGGGTATTTATTTATATAGATGGATTAGAATTGTTGAATGTATCGTGTGAAGAACGGTCCAAACCCTGGCCTTGTTCCTAAACACGTGTAGTCCAGTCTCTGAACAGAGAAATCACAAGGTTGTAAACATGTGTTTTAACCATTCTCCAATTTATGTAAACGTGGTTTGGAAAAACTACTCGTAATTAATATAAAAATACTTTATTCAAATATTTGGAAAATTTTAATTGGCCTACTGTAAAGTTTGTGCAACCATTGAGTGTAATGAGTAAAAAAAAAAAATACTTACACCTGACGGTTTCAAGAAAAGTGTTCCACTCCTTATCATTTTCGATTGACGCTAGATTCATTCCTCGATCAATACAGTCAATAAGGGCGTCCCACCATGTTTTCTGTAACACATAAATTGACAATCGTCTATTTACAGGTCGATGACTTCAAAATATTGTATTTTCATCAATCATTCTTATATTTCTACGAATACTTACATATTAAAGTAAATAATGTAATTTTACCTACGTATTTTACCTACGTTGGCCGTTTTTTAAGTAGCCGTTTCAGATCAGTTCTTGTAATTGAAAAGTTTCTCACAACAGCATTATGCATTGTTTACTTACATTAACAGAATAGTTTTACCTAACAACACGGGTAACGGACCATTGAGGTTCAATGATTGAGATAGAAGAAGTAAAACTGTAATGATTTGAACTTCAACTAATCAGCTGAACAGGCCAATTTAATTGTTGAGTGGTGCAATTAGTGTTTGGTATAGGTTTTGCTGCATCACTGTCAGTGGCAATGAGAGGTTATAAACGTTAAGAAACCTCTCTTAGCAGTTATGTGTAGTGATTTTTAGTAATTTAAACAAAAAACTGTCGTATGTATAGTAGTGTACGCAACTCGCGTATATAGTGTTGACGTCGTTCGTAGAAGTTTTTAAGGAACTCGCCAAGGCTCGTACCTTAAGTTTTCTACTCGTATTATTAACACAATTTTTACGCAATCGCTGCGTAAACTACTATTTTAATTTAACATTGTCCATCTACAAAGAAAAGGGGTAAATAAAGTAAAACAAATTTAAGTGGGTTAAATCATAGGATTCAAATTAAAACTTAAGTTTTGTCAAATATGTACAACATATTACAATCTATATTTCTAACTGTTGTGTGTAATACAGTAAAGTGAAAAAAATATTTAAGCTAAATCCACATATTTGAATAATTGTGTGACAATTATAAGGTTTTTGAAGAAATCTAACTAAGAAATACCCGATTTAAAATGTTCAAAATTGTTTATGTCATAACATTAGAGTTATAAGTTAAAGAAAATTAAAATAGCGCCCATTTAATTTTTTAGAAAATCCAATGGTAAACTTAGCATACTGACCTGTTCCTCAACAAGTAAGAAGGTTTTTTTCTTTTCAATTGGCTTTTGTATGTTTTCCTCATTCTCAACTGAACCTGCAACATCTTCACCCATTGTAAATTTGATTCATTTTGATCTAAAACTACTAAATTGACTGCAACTCTTGATTTGTCTGAATCCTCGAAAACTGCAATGACTCAGGGGCAATTGAAACTGCTATAATTGAACTGTCTGTGAAATTGTGATAATTTTAATTTTAATTTTAATAAAAAAATAATTTAATTGTAAAAATGTATGTACATTTGCAAATTGGCAGCTAAACGTTTTGATTTCATAAAGTCGATAGAATGAACCGTTTTGATAAGAATTTTCTAGGTAATATATTATTATATTATATCCTAACAGCAAAAACCTAAAGAAATGGATGTATTTTATCATATTCAAAATGTTGATCATACTCAATATATTTTTTTTATGAAACGGAAGTTCATGGGGGGTTTTATGGGGTAAAAATTATTTTTTTCCATTTTGACCTTAAAAACACAAAATTTCATAATCTCTCTCCAAACCATTTTGTAGAGCTTAAACAAAGAAATAATTTTGTATATTGAGGCGTTGTTATATGCCCAACGGTTACGGAGATAATTAATAAAATTGTAAATCTAAAATTCAAATGTTATTCTTATGGAGAACAAATTAACTGTTGTAGTTTGCTTGTTTATGGATATATTTAAACCAAATTTTGAAATTTTGTTTATTTAATACTAAGCTATCAACATTGCAATAAAAAAACACATCCCAATATCTTCCCTGTAACAGAAAACTAAAGTACTCACTAAAATTAATGTTAATTAAATTAAATATGAAATAAATCTGGCAATTTTTAGGGAATATTTTAGTAGAAATCCAGCCAGGTAAATGGAAATTCGCTTAGTCTGAAGGTTGGCTGCGGCGAGGGTATTTTACGATGTGTACATTTTTGTAACTTAACGGTGACATTGATGCCTTTCTAGCACGGTAACTTCTTTACGGTTGATTTGATGCTAACCTTTTAAAGGAAGTTTTTTTTTATTAATAACAAGGCAAGGAACAAAAAAGGCTCTTACGAAAATTATGATATCTCTTAGCGGCCATTTGGAGGAAAGACGTCTACACCAGCTCGGCCACACTTTCAGACGAAACACCCAGTAGTACACGATTCTATAGCTTACCTATCCGTCACCACCAGTCATATAATTGCTTCATTAAAAATCCCACGATCTTTCCTATTGGCCTATTTACAAAATGCCCCTACTCTATACAGTAACTGCACTTCATCCTTTTTTACCGTAGGCTCACAAGATTAATCAATCCCTGTTTGTTTTCCTTTACTGATAGAAATCTTCTTTTCTTCCAGGAAACTCTGTTTCGGGAGAACAACTGACAACTGGGTGCAAGTTTCCCCCTCTTCTCAAGTGTGTAAAACCTTTAATGTTCGGCTCATTTCATAAAAAAGTAAAATGAGTTATTTACCCTGTAACATTTTTTTACTCAACAGATGTTTACTGATTTTCCACCCCGTACATCACTGTTCATGTGGATTAATTATCTTAAATAAATCATGAATAATATCTAAATAATACAGTTTCACAGGTTTGTACCGAATTCGGTCTAAATTGGAGGGTCAGAATAAATGTTAAGGGGATAATAGTAAGGTTTAATTTTTTTTCAAATTTCTGGACGCCATATTGGAAAAAAAACATTTTCCGAGACTCCGATTTTATTAGACCGTTAGTATATTATTTAACATAGCCTACTTATTGGAAATGAAAACCAACAAAAACCTTTTAGAGCAATTTTTTAAGGTTAATTGGTTTTATTTCATATATTGACTAGACTATATCGATAATAAATTTAAAAATATAGAAAAGATAAGTTGATTAATTATATTGGCTCTAATAAGAGGATTAACATTCAATGAAAATTATTTGATTAAGTTACTACACCTAACTTGAGTCTCTGCTAGCAGCTGGAAACTAGAGATGCTGGTAAATAACTCATTATTCTAATATGGGGCGCTGCCAGGTGGTACATATTACTTAAACGTGTAGAACGTTTTTATAAGCTATTAACACCGATTGAGAAAACATTGTAAAATTTACCCACCTTTACAAGAACACACCGGGTAATGGTTCTTGACGTGACATTCTGTGTTATTGCCACACACTCCGTCTTCACAAGGATCTACACACTTCTGCAGACGACATGAGCGGTCCTCTGGACAATGAGAGTTAGTCTGACATTCCGGAATCCCTGTGACACAAAAACATTGCAGCTATTGAGACCATCCAACACGTTCTGGTGGACTGAAATACCAGCATCTGTATATGACGGCTTAAGAGATACGCAGTTTTAACGGTTTTGCAGAACGTGGCTAAAGTTCACCATACTCACGCACATCTCGTCATTCTGCTGATTGTGTCTCTGAATAAACAACATAGTCTACTTTTATGCTTTTTGAAAAATGTTGTGAAAGTTTGCATATTAAGTTATTATTTCAACGTCCATTAGCTCACAAAAAATGTCGAAACACACTCTCCTTACAATCTAGTATATCCAGTCTACTATATCTTAGATCCATCACAATTGTTAAAGTTCAATTTTGGCAGTTCAAAAATTGTCTTACTTTCAGGAAGGCAGCCTTTGTCTAGTTTGTAGAAGAATCCATTGAGGCAAGCACACACTGGTTGATGGTTGACCACTCTACACACGGTATTGAGGCCACAATAGTCCAGACAAGGGTCTACACACTTGTGACCAATACAGGCCTTATCTGTTGTACAAATGGAGTCGTCTGTGCATTCTGCATTTACTATAAATATAAACAAATTTCAAACACAGTATGTAGTATAAAGTGTAATGTAAGATTGTTGTATGTAGCAAAAGATGTTGCCAGAGCGATTAAAAGACAACAGCTACGACAGAACAAAAAGTGTTGGTTATTCGTATTATATCTAAAAACTTTTTATCGTCCAAGAAACTTTTTTTAGTAGTATTTTTATGGAGTCGGTCACAATTCTGGGAAAAAATCCAGTTTCCGTCATACAGCCCTTAAAAGTGCTCATGTTATCGTCAATACCTTTTCGTAGTTGTAGTTAACAAAAACAGCTGATACAGGTTATATTATTATATCGTCATCTTATGATTTGACACGTAAACAAAAATAACTGTATTGGTTAGTTTTAACTAATGGTTTTAATGAATAGTGTTATATTTAGTTTGATTTAATTTTAAAGTTAGATAAAATACGAAAGTTAACCAATGAACAGAAAACACTACAAAGGAATGTTGATACAAATTGTAAATTACATGATAATATGGTAATGTAACGAGTAACTGCACTGTGAATAATCACTTTCAAACGTTCACTTAATCACACTGAACTGTAACCAAAACTACATAATAATGCAGTAAAATACGATGTAAGGTAAATAAATTCAACTATTACAAACATTTTTTTTCAGGTATTGCAAGGAAACTCTTTATTTATGAACCAAACTTAGTTAACAGATGTTTAAATAAAATGTTATTCATTGTGACCCTTGGTTGGAATATGTAATTGATAAAATTGAAGAATTACCTTATCCAACCACAGTTGCTGGTATGACAACTAGTTTCGTTCCTTAGAACATCGTCAGGTCATTGTATGCAACCACATCATCAATGTAGTAATACATTGTGGTATGTCAAAAGATTCTTTAAAACACTGTCAGAATCACAATAGTAAAAACTAGTCATGTTGATCAAATTATTAAAATTGAATAAAAAGTGATAAAACTGGTTAAAACTGTAATATAAAGGCTGGCCAGCACTGTTTTATCACTGTCACTGACTAAATAAAACTGACTGAATCATGAGGTGTCTTCATCTTCATCTCTCCAGTTCCACCTGTATTTCAGTTTGTTTTGTTCTTATTTGATACTTCTTTGATTTGTAGCTTGTCAATATATATATAAATATTTGACTGGAAAGAAGTCTGATCATTTAAAATGTTGAATGGGTCGAGTTTTTTAGCTTTGTAGATGGTGAATTCTTCTTTAACATCTAGCTTAAAACTTTTTGGTTATACTTCAACTATTTCCATGTTCTTATCAATAGATGTGTAGTTGTGTGATTCTGATATTAAATGTTCGGCATAACTGGATAGCTGATGTTGTGATCTTTTAGGTATATGTTCTTTAAATCTTTGTTTGAAAGATCTTCCAGTTTGGCCGATGTAGTACTTTGGACAGTCGTCACAGTTAATTCTATAAATGCCTGATTTTTCATAGTTGATTGCCTCGTTTTCTTCTAATTCTAAAGTGAACTTTAGGTTGCTATGGATGCTATTGAGCTGAGATAATATTGACTGAGTCTGTCTTCTATTACCATCTACAATGGCGAAAATGTCATCAACATATCGGTGGTAAGTTGATATTTTAGCAAGTGTTCGATTGTCGGTTGTGAGTATATGTGCATTTTCAATGTGATTGAGGAAAATGTCAGCTATGAGGCCTGATAATGGATTGCCCATTGCTAGTCCTTCTTTCTGAATATAAAATTTGTTCTCAAATTCGAAATAGTTCTGGTGAAGAACCAACTTTAAAAGATCCGTGATTTCATCAATCTCTTTAATGTTTAATTTATTTTGGTGTTTCAAATTATTATGAATGATTGTTATGGTCTCGTCAATTGGTATGTTGGTGTACAAATTTTGTATGTCGAAAGAGACCATTATTTGAGTGTCTCTGATGTTCATGTCCTTGATTTTGTTGATGAGGTCTGATGTGTTCTTCAAACTTCTATTGTTTACCAATTTTATTTCTTTAGAGATCTTATCATGTAAAATCTTAGATAAGTTGTAAGCTGGGGCATTGATGAAGTTGATTAAAGGTCTGATTGGTTCATTTAGTTTGTGGATCTTTGGTAAACCTCTTAGTTTTGGAGCTGTTGGTTTTATTGTATTGGTTTGAATTTTTTGTTCCTTGTTTAGGAAAGAAGACTTGTTAATAGCATTTCGGATGGTTTTGTTATATTTGTCAGTTGGGTCACTGGGGATTTCAATTATGTTGTTTTCATCAAAGAAATGTAAAACTTTATCTTTATATATGTCCGTGTTCATGATTATTGTAGTGTTACCTTTGTCGGCTTTAAGTAACATTACATTGTTGTCATTCAATTTCTTTTTGAGAGTCCGAGCGACATTTATTTCAATATTGGACTGTTTATTTTGTTTTGTGGCTACATGGTTTTGCCATTAATTTGAATCTGCTAATTACTGTCTCAACTATACTTTGAATGTTAAAATTATCATATGATCAGCTGACTTTTTGTAAACTTTATATTTGATTTTATTGTAGTTCTTTCTTAATACAAAAGTGTTTCAATGTATAATCACTTCTTTTAATAAACTTATTTTGTGTTAGTATATTTATATAAGGCACAAGCCTTATTTGGTGACCCCTTACTGTACTTTTTATTATCATTAATTCAATTGGACCATAATGAATAATCAAGAATCTAACTCCTAGTACACCAGAGGCTTCACAAATCTCACCAATTCAAGTGAAAATTCCACCATTTTGGACAAAAAATGTTTCACTCAATGGTTTCATCAAATTGAATGTCAGTTTTCTCTTCATGGAATTTCAAAGGAAAGGACTAAATACAATTATGTAATGAGCTCACTGGACAATGAAGTTGCAAGTCACCTTTCAGATTTTATTACCAAACCTTTGTCTCAAACTCCCTACTCTGACTTAAAAGAAAGGCTCTGCTCAGAATACGAAATTTCAGAAAATGCCAAACTAAAACAACTGACAACAGAAGTTTTTCTCGGAGATAAGAAGCCGACAACTCTTCTTCGTGAAATGAGAACCTTAGCAGGCACACAGGTAACTGACAGTTTTTTGAAAGTTATTTTTCTACAACGTCTACCTAGTCACATTCGTACTGCCCTTGCTGCTTCTCAAACCAATTCTCTTGATGACTTAGCTAAATTAGGTGACCAAATAGCTGAACTATCAGCTGTCGACAACTACGTTTGTGCTCAAGGAGATGTTGCGCAATCTAGTGATCGGATTGCCAACTTAGAAAAACAAGTCAGCGAACTAACTCAGTCTATTGATGGACTTCTTAAGTTAAGTAAACGCAACTTCCCAGTCAAACATAAGAACAATTACTATCCTAAAGAGAGAAATGATCAAGGTGAAATTTGCTGGTATCATAACAAATTTGGTGAAAATGCTAAAAAATGTGTTCAACCTTGTTTGTTCACACCAAAAAAGAATGCACAACAGGAAAACTTCCTGCCCCGTCACTAAATGCGGCTCAGGATGACAGGGGCTTTCAATCTCGCCGCTTATTTGTAACTAACTTACCCTGTGGTCGTAAGTTTCTGGTGGATTCTGGAGCAGACATATCTGTTTTGCCTCTCACAAACAAAGACAAATGTGCTGTAAGTAATAGACAATTATATGCTGCCAATGGTTCTGTTATCAAAACGTACGGTAAACAAGACATAAAACTTGATCTAGGCTTGAAAAGAAAGTTTGTCTGGTCTTTCATAGTTGCAGACGTAACCCAACCCATAATTGGCGCAGACTTTTTATCACATTATGGTTTACTTGTTGATATCAAAAATAAAAGACTAATCGATAACAGGACTCAATTATCTGTTATTGGAATTCAAATACTTTCAAATCAACAATCTGTATTGGTTCTTGATCCAAAAGGTAAATACTCAAAACTTATCAACCAATATCCTAATTTACTGAAAGAAAATCCTAATTTTCAAGTTTCACAGGACACAGTTTTTCACTCAATTCAGACAACAGGTCAGCCTGTGAACTTTAGAGCTAGACGTTTATCTCCAGAAAAACTTGCGGTAGCTAAAAATGAGTTTCACAAGATGGTTGAGTTAGGCATTTGCAGACCTTCAAAAAGCTGTTGGTCCAGTCCACTTCATTTAGTTCCTAAAACTGATGGTACATGGAGACCTTGTGGGGATTACCGTGCCCTAAATGCAAAAACAGTTCCTGATAGATATCCTATACCTTATTTACATGATTTTAACAGCCAGTTAAATGGAAAAACTATATTTTCCAAAATTGATCTTGTTCGGGCTTTTCATCACATTCCAGTAGCTCCTGATGACATTCCAAAAACTGCTGTCATAACGCCTTTTGGATTATTTGAATTTCTAAAAATGCCATTTGGATTAAGGAATGCTGCACAAACTTTCCAGAGATATATTAATTCTCTTTTGCATGATCTAGAGTTTACCTTTTGTTACTTAGATGATATTCTAGTAGCATCCTCCTCAGAAGATGAACATATTAATCACTTGCAATCTGTTTTTGATAGACTTAATAAGCATCACATTAATATTAATACGTCAAAGAGCGTATTTGGCGTGACTGAGATCTCTTTTCTTGGTTACACAGTTTCGAAACAAGGAATTTCTCCTCTTCCTGATAAAGTTGAAGCTATTGTTAGTTGCAAACTTCCTGAAACCATTCTTGAGCTTCGTAGATTCCTTTGACTTATAAACTTTTACAGAAGTTCACTTCCTAACGCAGCTGCTATTCAGCAACAACTATTTGATTTGTGTAAGGGTACACATAAATCTGATAAACGAAAAATAATTTGGACTTCAGAATCTAAGAAAGCTTTTGAGGATGCAAAGGGCCAGCTAGTCAATGCTACACTTCTAGCACACCCATCTCCTGATGCTCCTTTAGCACTCATGGTCGATGCATCAAACTTCGCTATAGGTTCGTCTCTCCACCAGATATGTAATGGAAACTTTGAACCTCTTGGGTTTTTCTCTAAATCCCTTACAACAACTCAAAAAAGATACAGTACCTATGACAGGGAACTCCTGGCTGCATACCTATCTGTGAAGCACTTCCGTTATCTCCTTGAAGGGCGAAGTTTTGTTATATATACAGATCACAAACCTCTATCTTTTGCTTTCAATAAACCCTCTGATACATCTAGTCCAAGGCAATTGCGTCATCTAGACTTCATTGGACAGTTCACTACCGACATAAGGTATCTTCCAGGAAAACAAAACATTCCTGCTGATTTCATGTCAAGAATAAGTGCTATTGACCTACCTTCATCTATATCATTTGAACAAATTTCTGAAACTCAATCTCAAGATGCTGAACTTAAAAACCTTAAGTACTCAAACACAACTTCTTTGATATTCAAAAATATTTTACTTCCTAATGGCTCAGAGCTGTGTTGTGACACAAGTACTGGAAGGCTACGACCATTTATTCCTCAGCAGTTCAGAAAGCAGTTATTTAACTCCATTCACAACCTGGCACATCCTGGAATCAAAGGATCTCTGGACCTTATTAAACAACGTTTTGTTTGGCCTTCCATGAATAAAGATGTCAGACTTTGGGCCAAAGCATGTGTAGCTTGCCAGAAATCAAAGGTTTGGAAACATACTACTTCTGAGATTGGAGCTTACAACAACATTAATGGACGTTTTTCTCACATTAATGTGGACATAGTTGGACCCTTGCCACCTTCTCAAGGATTTACGTACTTGCTAACTATCATAGACCGCTTTACACGATGGGTCGAGGCAACGCCTATCAAGGATATTACTGCTGGAACAGTTGCAGAAGCACTTCTTTCTACCTGGATTGCTAGATTTGGAGTTCCTCAAAACATTACTACAGATAGAGGAAGACAATTCGACTGCAATTTATTTCAGGAATTAACAAAACATCTCGGTATCCATCACATTAAAACTACAGCGTATCACCCTGAAGCTAATGGAAAGATCGAGAGATGGCACCGACATCTGAAATCTGCATTAACAGCTCAACTCACATCTAACTGGACACAGACGTTACCAATGGTTCTACTGGGACTAAGATCTTATATTATTCCAGAACACAATGTTACTGCTGCAGAAATGACACTAGGTCAGTCCATCAGACTGCCATGCGATCTTTTTCAAACCACAGAAGATACCTCAACAAATGTTCCTGATTTAGTGTACAATCTGAAAAAAAAAATGAATGATCTCAAACCAATAGAAGCCAAATACCATTCTTCTAAGAAGGTCTTTGTTCATCCAGAATTAAGAACAGCCAACCATGTTTTTGTTCGTCATGATTCATCCCGAAGACCGTTGCAAGCTGTCTATGATGGCCCTTACCAAGTGGTTTCGCGATCTGACAAGTGGTTTACTATTCTTACTCCACGAGGACCTACGTCGATTTCTATTGACCGACTCAAACCGGCATTCCTCCTTCAAGATTCTATGAACGATACGACCATTAACGTAAGAAAAAATGACATGCAATCTAGAGAAATTCAAGTAGACAAGACCAAAGACAGAAATGAAGATTTTGACCTTAAAAAACACTGATTTTTACAAGATCAGGTCGTAGTGTTCGTCCCCCGCATCGTTACGTTCCTCGTTGACACTGGGAGGGGAGTATGTGGCTACATGGTTTTGCCATTAATTTGAATCTGCTAATTACTGTCTCAACTATACTTTGAATGTTAAAATTATCATATGATCAGCTGACTTTTTGTAAACTTTATATTTGATTTTATTGTAGTTCTTTCTTAATACAAAAGTGTTTCAATGTATAATCACTTCTTTTAATTAACTTATTTTGTGTTAGTATATTTATATAAGGCACAAGCCTTAGTTTATTTAAATCCAGATGTCGTTTGATTTTGTCATGAGCTAAGAATCTTGTTTCATTTTGTTTTGCTTTGGGTAGACATCTTAATGCAACCTCTGTGTCAATAAGTAAAGGTGTGCAGTCCGTGTGGTAGGTTATGTTTCAGGCCTTTATCTAAGAGTTCTATTTCATTTTGTGTAAGTACAATATCAGTTTTCTTTACTGTTCTTGCATGGAATTGGTGACTTTCATTTATGTGATTGAAATTGGGTTGATTCTCAATAAGTTTTTCTAATTTCTTGTCTATAGTTTGTGATTTTTGAATAGCTCTTGGTTGTAGCCACTCTTCAGTGTTCTTGATAAAGGAATCAAATTCTATTGGATGTAATATGCTGGCAAGTTTTAGGTGAAGTTGTAACAACGTGCTGTTGTGCTTCAGTTTTGTTTCATACAGCTCATCTATACTATTTTGCAGCCAAGTTCTTTCTGCTGTCTTTTTTGCTTTGAGAGCTGCATGGCTTTTGCTGCTGACTTTGACATGAATGTATTTGGGAGTAATATTGTGACTGAGACATGTTTTATTGAATTTAATTCCCTCTATGGAGTTGATAAGCTGTAGTTTTGTTTTGCGATACTTGTGTGTCACTGAAGCAATATTTGCTGAAGATATGTTATTCATTGTGACCCTTGGTTGGAATATATAATTGATAAAATTGAAGAATTACCTTATCCAACCACAGTTGCTGGTATGACAACTAGTTTCGTTCCTTAGAACATCGTCAGGTCATTGTATGCAACCACATCATCAATGTAGTAATACATTGTGGTATGTCAAAAGATTCTTCAAAACACTGTCAGAATCACAATAGTAAAAACTAGTCATGTTGATCAAATTATTAAAATTGAATAAAAAGTGATAAAACTGGTTAAAACTATAAAGGCTGGCCAGCACTGTCTTATCACTGTCACTGACTAAATAAAACTGACTGAATCATGAGGTGTCTTCATCATCATCTCTCCAGTGCCACCTATATTTCAGTTTGTTTTGTTCTTCTTATTTGATACTTCTTTGATTTAAATAAAAATATAAAATTCCGGCTTTGCTCTGGATGAATAAGTCCTGCAGTCTGTGGTTAAACTTAAAAACTAATTCAAACTACGTCCATATGTTTAGTTATAAACAAAGGGGCTTGAGTTTGATGGTTCGATCTAATGTCAACAGATAGCGCCGCTGTTCCCAAACTTTAGCCCTTAACTGTACTTAGGTAATGCCATTTCTTAATATTCTGAGACGTATTTGCACATCTGCGTGCAAATACCTTTTATTTGACACCTCAAATATTAAATTACGTCATGCCGTTATCGAGTTATGACTATGAAAAGAAAACTGCTTGCGTATTAATATATAGAATAGATAACATAATATAATTTACCTAACCCGCCATGTTAAACTTCCCTATCCCAAGCGTGATGTATACAACTTCTTTACTTCTCGATTTTTTAAAGTTGAAAAAAACTCACTCGGTGAGGTAATGAAACCCATTTAAATAACATTGAGTGATTAACTTAAAAATATACCTCTATGGAGCCAACGACGTTCAACGCTAGAAATCAGCTGTGCGCTTGAATTTTATTGTTATGTTTTGAAGAATTTTCCTAACCTAGCTTTTGTTTGTAAATGAACATTACTGTTAGAAGATGACTGAAATGGATAATGAAAAATATTGTTCGTAACCTCCTGTATATTGTCGAGTCAGGTAAAATATTGTACGTTACACGTTACGCAAGAGCGTGTTTACATCACTTAGGTAAATTATGCAACTCGCTTCCGCTCGTTGCACAACATTCACCTGCGTGATGTAAAAACGCTCTTACTACACTTGTAAGGTAAATAGCTATTACACTTTGGAAGCAGGTGAAAAAAAACTCGTTCATACCAATAAGTTTCAGCAAAAGCGCACACTCATAAGCATAAGCTTAACCGTGTCACATGCCTATATTTTTATTTGCTAAATGCCTTAAACGATGACCATAAATTTGACTGTATCACTTTGATAATAAAATAGATAGTCCAATTAACTCTGAAAGAAATAAGAAACTTTCAATACTGTATAGATTACGGTTCTTAAGTTATTGAAATGTTTGTGATTTTCCCTATAAACACCCATAAGTTACTCCCACCAATTTCCCTGTAATATAATTTAATAATTTTCCTCGTAAAAGTAGTAGGATGTTCTATAAGGTTTTCTCACTCTGTCAATTTCTTTTGCACGACTAAACTACCCAATTTTCAGGAGTAAGTATTCAGGAGTTTGTTTTTTACTATGTCTACGGTGACACTTTAATAAGGTAACATAAATAAAATAATTTACTGTTAGTAGTTTTGAAAAACGGACAAATAAAATAAGCTTTTGAAATAAATATCTTTTAACTGTTTTTTTTCAAGAATTTAGTACTTTAAATTTCTCCTCCATTCTTATGTTTTCGAAAATATCCTTCAAAGAGAATAACCTTGTAAGTAGGCCTACATACGTGGTTTGCATTCCGTAAACGGGTCTCCTTTGTAGCCAGTTTTACAGGAACACATAGGAGCTCCTTCGTGTACCACACATATTGTGTTCAACCCACACACGGTGTCACAAGGATCTGTGCATTTCTTAGCTCTGCATATCTTCCCTGAAATACACTCATCGTTCGTGAGACACTCCTTCCCTGAAACATAGATGTAGAAGATGATTTATTGCATAAAACATTCAATACATACAGGGTGATTGGTACTCAGTGTGACAAAAAATTTTTGGTGTAAGTACAAAGTAAATGCAGTGTGATTATGCATATAAAATGTTCCAAGTCTAAAAATTAGCTTACCAAAGAATTATTTTATGTTTTTCAAAAATAACTAGGTTTTTAAACTTAATACAGCGGTTTCTCAATTACCTGTAAATGGATTTGAGTGGATAATGTCATTTTGGTGTTCTACATTAAATTTTGAATAAGAATAATGGAAAATGACGGGGATCATTTGTAAAAACTCCATTGTAAATAGATTCAAAGATAAAAATTAAGATGTTTGATAAAAATTTAAAAAACATTGGTCAATTGCATTTGTTCACACCCTGTATACAAGAAAGTGTCGGAATATGTCAAAAACTGCGCCATTTTATAAGCTTTCCAATCATATGCTACACCATTGAGCTTTATGTCTGCTTATGTACGCTTTAGTGATTTGAAGACTACAAAGCATGGTGTCTTTAACATTTAAAACATAGAAAGTCGGCATGTATTAAGCAAAAGTTGTATTTTTGTTTCAGCTTTAACAGTAAAACAGTATAAAGTTCCCTGTTTTCAAACCACTAAAACAATCAAAAAAATATCTAAACCTCAATAGTATAGTAATATTTTACCCTCTTACTAAATAATACACACATTTTCTATATTAAATAAAGCATCACAATCATAATTTTCAAGTAGATACACAAATAATAGTTAATTGCATCGACTAGCTGTGTTATCCCATAATCTAAAACAAGCACGTGTACGAGCAAATGTTTTTTCGTCCGAGAAAGTTTTTTTTTTTTTTTTGGGTATTTGGCCACGAGAAATCGACTGAAGTTGGACACAATTCTGGGAAAAAATCCAGTTTCCGTCCTACAGCCCTTGAAAGTGCGCATGTTATCGTCAATACCTTTTTGTAGCTGCAGTTAACAAACACAGCTGATACAGGTTATTATATCGTCATCTTTTGATTTGACATGTAAACAAAAATAACTGTATTGGTTAGTTTTAACTACAAGTTTTAAGGAATAGTGTTATGTTTAGTTTATTTCATTAAGGAATATACAGTATTAGTGTTAAATGTTTTCAATGTTAATTTTCAAGATTAGGAATGAAATGTGGAAGACCTCCGAAGCGAAAATATATACAGAACCTCCAAGGGAGAGAAGCTACAATCGATCGTCAGGAAAGAAATTTTACCTCTTTGTCAACAACTAAGCCAGTCATAACCAGCTCATACATCTCACCGAATTTCGCAGAACCTCGGCCAAGTTGCACACCGAAGAATAAAAGTAGAGAAATCATTTATAAAAACACAGATGTTTCTTCTCTCAGAGGTCCGATAAACATACAGAAATTTAGTTTTGCTGGACCCAAAACCTGAAAAGTGTTTTTAAATTTGGCTAAAGCACATAAACTGTTAAAATAGTTAAGAGTTAATGTTACGCAGTTCTGAATCATAATATTCATACAAAAATTAGGTCCGTATAACGTTCAACCTTAGAGACTGTGTTTCAATTGTGACATTTAAAGCTGATCATAGTGCTAAACTGAAGAAAATATTAAAATTTTACATAGTTTTATGGGGACAACACACCTGTAATAAAATCTATATTCTGGTTACATAAATAAATACTCTTTCTTAATATATTACTAAATAAAAAAAATATTAACCTTATCCACACACTTATTTTAAGAAATACAGGGTGCGGCAAAAAACCAATCCATTTTCTGCAGCGCACTGTTCAGCGAAAGGTCGTCTGAGGGTGGTGGAAGCGTGTAGTTCCGCCCGAGTTTCATTTCGCCCGTAACCTAATTAGTCTCAATTCGCCCACGGTCCAAGATTAACCCTTATAATCCTCAGCTCTACCTGCGTCAGGAGTATCATTCCATCCACGAAGGCGAAGCCCCACCTCCTAGGACCTCACCCTCCCCCAAATTTGGAAAAGCTTCAATATTAGGCCTAATCTATATTTATAAATGTTTACTACATAACAGATTAATTTTTGTCAAAGCATTAGTGTCATTGACAAAAACAATAAGTAATTTATTATTAGCTAGAAGATAATTGGTAAAAATAAGAGAGAAAAATGGGCCCTAGATGCAACCTTTAGGCACACCTTTGGATATGTTTTCCCAATGTGACTTTGTTTATTGTATTCTAAAATTTAAAACAATTTATTTACTAATTACAATATACAGCAATACATCGTTGAATCTCAGATTGTTGTTTAAAGTTTGACTCCTTGTACTGTGCTGAATTCAAAAACACCTTTCTCACTAATTTATTTCTGTAACACAACGTGAATACTCCTTAGTTATATAGATGTGCCACAAGTTCAACATTTAGAAAAAGGTGACATGTGAAGTGGTGGTCATTTATTTATAACAAGTATATTACCCTAACAAATGGTATGTCAATGCATCCATTAAGAGAATAGCTTTACATACTTTTTAGAATGAGGGTTTTCTCTGTTATATCCCTTTTTCAACCGTTCTACTAAACCGATTTCTGAGGTACCATTTTAAAGCTTACGTTATGGCGGAATAATGAATGGTTATCAAAAAGGCATTGACATTTAGGCCTTGCCACCCCCCCCCCCCTCCAGCCATGCGTAGGTGCAGTTTTGTTGATTATCTTTGTTTATAACAGTTAAAAACGTTATTAAATGTAGAACAGTCGGATGGTAAATAAGGGACTAAACATATTATGAAAATAAATGTTAAATAGGCTACTTTTTATGGATTGTCGAAACATAATTGAGGTAACAAAAACTATATTTCCTCCCTTAGTTTCAGTTACTGAGATAACTGATGTGACACAAAATATACGTTGGCGTATTCAATAGATATAACTAGTTTAAATCAGCATCTTCCGTTGGTGGCTTACATTTGGCTAAACAACACTTTTATGTTATACATTGATTTATGTAAATAACTTAAAAACTTACCTGTAGTTGTGTTGTTTACAGGAGCAGGCTGAGTCCTCGACTTATCTACAAATAAGATCAAGAGACACAACCACACAATTCTCAAATCCATCGTGTTCCGCTATAGCTCATCAACTGAAAAGTGTTTGTCTTTAATTTGATAGTACTTTGTTCCACAGATAGCTTTGTATAACATTTGACCTTTTGATAAAGACTTCGCAGGGCTGCATCTTATTTACGAGTAAGACTTTGTACTGAAGACTTTGTACTGTTTGACTAAAGAGACTTTGTATTGCTTATTTTAAACTAATACCAAACATATTAGTGAGTTTGTAGAAACGAGAAGCTTTCGCCTTAACTGTAAATTGTCACTGTAGTTGGAATTGTTTTCAAGATAAAAAAATATTAAAATTCTAGTTTAAGTTTTATTTTTGAGTAAAAATATAAGTTAAATATTTAACTTTGCAGGCTTGGACACATTTTAGTCCGTTCAGTAGTGGTTTCCAGAGGGGGGACAGTGGCAAACTTACGTTACTGAGATTTTTCTAGGGGGGGGGGCTTATTTAGCTACAAAGTGAAAGTAAGGCCGTGATCACAAATTCGTTGTATTTTTTAACAGTTAATAATAGGCTATGCTGAAGCATCGATATATAACTACAGTTATATATCGATAACTTGTATATATAATATACAATATATTGTATATATATAACTTGTAGTTATATATCGATGTGCTGAAGTTGACTTTAATGTCAAATCCAAGATTTTACAATAAATTTTAGCCTTTTAGCCTACTTAGCTGTTGGACCAACCAGGTATTTGACCGACGGCTGTATACTTTAATTTCTGGTAACTACTGATAGCTTCAATAATTACCATGTATTTTATTACAAAAACAGTCACTGCTCAGTTAATGATAGTCCGATCTTCATAATCTTGCACCATATTTTAGTAAATAAAATTCAGTAACTTTTTTGTAGGCCTACTGTTACAAAAATTGACAAAATGTATAGTTTAAAGATATTCAGCTTTGAAAACAAAAATTAGCCACCATTTTGAAACGGTTTTAAAGTTTTAATTCACATTTTGTACAAAGGTAGAAATCAAAATATGAACATATTCGATGAATTTCAACGCTGTAGCTCAAATTGTCAAGGAGTTATAAATGTGTTTATAATAGCACATATACAGACAGACATACGCTATACGGTTTGAGATAGGACATAATATGTTGGATTGCATTTTTTGCTTGTTTTGAACTAGTTGAAACTGGACACCCTATATACAACTAACTGAATGTAAGAAGAAGCACAAAACTTCTTACACTCAGCGGCCTACATTACCCATACAGATGCTTCCACTGACGCACCTACAAATTCTTGTTTGTATGAAAAAAGATATTGATAAATTTCATTTTTCCCAATACGTCCAACGTTTAAAAAATTTACATCTTTTAATTTGTTCAATTTTTATCCCTCATCTTTATCTGTATTTTTTCAAAACAAAACGAAATTATTATTTTATATTAAATTTTCATATTTGTTGACGTAATTGAAATGTATAGTCCAAATAAATACGATTAATTATTCCTTGTTATTCTCATATTAAGATTTACATCAATAACAAAACAAATTTTAAAATCTACATAGTATTAGTTTATTTATGTTCCTCCCACTGAATACGTATGTAAGTCATACTGGATAGGGTGTGTGGAATCTCTGCTACGGGTAAAAGTCAGTCCCTTATCACCTTACCATCAGTGGCACTTGGCAGCGCAGATGGCACTACTGCCTCGTGTAATCTGATAGCTGCATTTTACAACATGAAACACAGTTCTAGTGTCAGTAAAGATGACAATTTACAATTTAGATCTCAACAGAAGACCTGGTTTATATTTGTAATGCTGCTCTTTTTATACCACTAGTTAGAGTTAATTAGAGGTGTGATAGGTTCTATATGTTTGCAAGACATTTGCATTTAATATGGTTTATAATAAGAAACATTTATTATATAAATAATATAGAAATATTATAGCACGTTATGCACAACAAGTATCGTATTAACAAAGGATTCAAATCAAATCAGTTTTATTTCCACAATATATACAAAATAAAAAAAAAACCAATATATATAGTCTTAAAGCACTATACAGTACATTGTTTACGTAAAATAATACAAGTAAAGTTAAATTTATAAATTTATAATTGTATAAACTTAAATAATAGTTGAAATATGTTTGCTCCGGCTAGAATAATAACTAATGTTGGTAATGGAAATGAGTCTACATAGACCTCAGTGATTTGTGCGTACACTCTAATTGTTAAAAATTAATTTTTTTTTAGCTAATTTGCAATTTAAGAAAAGATGTAAAATTAAATAAAGATTTATTTAAATTTTTACTATGTGCTATGGGAACGTATAAAGATAAAGATAAAGTTTAAAGTTTATATAAAAAATGGGAGTAAATATTAATTTACATTTTTATCAACAGAATTATTTAACAGGGAAGCCAATAAATAAAATGGAAAAGAGTTTTTTTTTGTGTCAAGAGTTTGCAGAGGCCCTGTCCGTTCAGTGCTGTCAGACAGTAGCAGGTCTCCTGTTATCAGTAGTGATAAGAGCCTCGGCCTCTTCATCGCTAATATCTAATAACCATCTATTAACTCGATTTTTGAATGCACCTAATGCAGGAGAATGAAATAACTGAGTTGCTTTATACATAGCACCATGATTCATCCATACACAAAGAATAATTTTATATTTAGGTGAAAATACTTTGAAGAACATTTGTTTATTAACTTTTCCATAAAAGATAATTTAGCCTTAGGATATTGTATTTTGTCTTACTTTACAGAGATTGCACTTAGTGTAACGGATTGGGGGGTTTGTATCAATCCAAATTGATTTTTACGGATCATTTGGTTGCAAATCTTATAATATTTGGTATTATAGTTGGTATAATATGTCACCACTCGACGGTAACTTCTATATTTTCATTCATTATTTTATTTTTTGTTTTTGACAGATTTAAAATTAAGTGACATAGCTTAGCTTGATTTTCGAAAATATTTCAAAGTATATTATTTTTGTACATTTTTAAAATAGATTACTGTAGTGCTACAAAAATATAACACGCGCTGATACAACATGAAAGTAAGTGAACATGGAAGTAAGCCTACCATTGACTTTGGATACTGCAAGTAGATATCTCATTTATGTGAAGCAGGTGTACCATAGATTTAGGATACTAAAATGAGGCAATTCCTTTACGTGAATCAAGTGTTTCATTAAGTTTAGATACTGCATTAATTAGTTCATTTTTTGAACGGTTTTGTTTTATTAATATGCACAACAAGTATCGTATTAACAAAGGATTCAAATCAAATCAGTTTTATTTCCACAATATATACAAAATAAAAAAAAAACCAATATATATAGTCTTAAAGCACTATACAGTACATTGTTTACGTAAAATAATACAAGTAAAGTTAAATTTATAAATTTATAATTGTATAAACTTAAATAATAGTTGAAATATGTTTGCTCCGGCTAGAATAATAACTAATGTTGGTAATGGAAATGAGTCTACATAGACCTCAGTGATTTGTGCGTACACTCTAATTGTTAAAAATTAATTTTTTTTTAGCTAATTTGCAATTTAAGAAAAGATGTAAAATTAAATAAAGATTTATTTAAATTTTTACTATGTGCTATGGGAACGTATAAAGATAAAGATAAAGTTTAAAGTTTATATAAAAAATGGGAGTAAATATTAATTTACATTTTTATCAACAGAATTATTTAACAGGGAAGCCAATAAATAAAATGGAAAAGAGTTTTTTTTTGTGTCAAGAGTTTGCAGAGGCCCTGTCCGTTCAGTGCTGTCAGACAGTAGCAGGTCTCCTGTTATCAGTAGTGATAAGAGCCTCGGCCTCTTCATCGCTAATATCTAATAACCATCTATTAACTCGATTTTTGAATGCACCTAATGCAGGAGAATGAAATAACTGAGTTGCTTTATACATAGCACCATGATTCATCCATACACAAAGAATAATTTTATATTTAGGTGAAAATACTTTGAAGAACATTTGTTTATTAACTTTTCCATAAAAGATAATTTAGCCTTAGGATATTGTATTTTGTCTTACTTTACAGAGATTGCACTTAGTGTAACGGATTGGGGGGTTTGTATCAATCCAAATTGATTTTTACGGATCATTTGGTTGCAAATCTTATAATATTTGGTATTATAGTTGGTATAATATGTCACCACTCGACGGTAACTTCTATATTTTCATTCATTATTTTATTTTTTGTTTTTGACAGATTTAAAATTAAGTGACATAGCTTAGCTTGATTTTCGAAAATATTTCAAAGTATATTATTTTTGTACATTTTTAAAATAGATTACTGTAGTGCTACAAAAATATAACACGCGCTGATACAACATGAAAGTAAGTGAACATGGAAGTAAGCCTACCATTGACTTTGGATACTGCAAGTAGATATCTCATTTATGTGAAGCAGGTGTACCATAGATTTAGGATACTAAAATGAGGCAATTCCTTTACGTGAATCAAGTGTTTCATTAAGTTTAGATACTGCATTAATTAGTTCATTTTTTGAACGGTTTTGTTTTATTAATAACTAGCTGGCCCAACAGACGTCGTCCTGTCCTAATGTGGTTTTATGTCAAATGCTAGTTCATTTTCAAGATGAGGTCGTTCGCATGGCTCAATCACGTACTGGTTGAAGTTCGTTCGCTGCGCTCACTTGCCTTCAGGTTAGCTCGTTCGCTACGCTAACTCGCCTCCAGGTTGAAGTTCGTTTGCTACGCTCACTCACCTTTTGGTTACAAATTAGCTGTTGTCATAAATAAATAAAAATAATAGTGCTGCACCCTGTTGGTAAACCTTTTAACTTTTTAATGCTATTGAACATCACAGAATCAAATTGTTTAGTTGAACCAGCTGTTAAGATAATTTAATTCCATAAGGTTAACATGGGATACTCCGGAACCAGTGGGGTGGAGCCCTTTTGACGGATCTGCACCAAACTTCACACAAACCATAATGCTTAATAATGCCTGAAAGTTTCATTTCAATCTGTCGAGCGGTTTCGGAGTCCATAAAGGACAAACAAACAAACAAACA